TTTTTTTTTTTTTTTTTTTTTTTTTTTTTTTTTTTTTTTTTTTTTTTTTTTTTTTTGTGCGTATCTATTGAGCCCTTCAATCGCTGTCGCGGTTGGCTCTTTGGTTTTGTGGTCAGTTTTTAGGATCAGAATCGCTATTGGGATTTTGGGGATTATCGGGGTGTTGTTGGATCTGTGACCGAAGAGATCTCGTGGGGTTTTTCCTTTTTCCTTTTTATTTTTTTCGATCGCTATGGTAGGAGGAGGGCCTCAAGTTCTTGAACAGCCACAACAATCTCTGCCTCAACCCCTATCTACTGCAGAAGAGGAGGCTGTTAAGAGGAATACCGATTGTGTTTACTTTCTTGCTTCGCCTTTGACGTGTAAAAAGGTTTTGATTTTACTCTTTTTTTTGTTTGATTTGAGCCCCTCTTTTCCTTTTTTAAGTTGGAATTATTGGTTTCTTTTGGTGATTTTTCTCGTCTTTAATAAGATCTGTGTAGGTTAAGATTCTTGGATTCAGCTTCTAGTGAAAAATTATGATTTAGAAAATTTTGTTTTCGAATGCACTTAACGTTTATTTCTCCTCAAGTCCATAGTGGTTTTACTTTAATTCGTGTATTAGCTCCTCAAGAAATTTTGTTGCCAGTTTCATAATTCTCCATGACGTAGGCTCAAATTGTGGCGTTGTTAGCCACTTAAACATCATTGTGTGACTGACTTGGGGAAGGAAAACTGTTTGTTCTTGATTTATAGTCACATGTGTGTGCAGATGTATGAAAACCTGTGCCTTGTGGAGAACCTCTGTTTCAGAGTTGGTACTCATTTATGATAATAACGAACGAATGGCATTCAAATGTAAAGTGTGACTGTTGTAGAATATTTCCTCAAGGTTTTTCATGTGCCCCAATTTACATGTTTCCAAATACTTGAGATTTTGTTCTGGAACAAGATGTTTACTAACGTTTTTAATTATTGATTAGATGTCTATCAGCTTTTAGAATCCTTATATATACATATTTCTGTACTTCTAGAGGATTCGAACTCATGGGATTTTCTCTTTTTCATTTTTTCTTCAGTATTTCGTAAATCCTAAATTGGAAACATCTGATCTGTGTAATCGGATTATATACAGTCATGAGTATGAAAAAGAATCTAATAACAGAGTTTTGTTCTCATCCCTGTTTAGAGTTTAACTGTTATGCTCGTTGGCCTTTTAGTATGAATTGACTGTTACAACAATTCACTTTTCCTTGCATTTAGATGGTCAATATAAATTTTTAACTAATTTGGTTCCACGTCCTAAAAGTTATTTGGTTATACATCCTAAGAATCAAGACAGTTATTTGACATTCGTGTTGTATTATGGGAACATCAGTGAGGAATGTGCTTGTTTCATGTTATGCCTGTTGAAAGTATGTTGTTGATACAATTATATATATCATTGATGTTGATTTGTGTCGGTAATATCTTTCTACGTAATTTCCAACAGGGAAGTGAATGTGAGTATCGCCATAGTGAATATGCCCGGGTCAATCCTAGGGATTGCTGGTTCTGGTTGAACGGTAACTGCTTGAATCCAAAGTGTTCATTCCGACATCCAGTAAGTTTTATGTTCTTGCTTTGTAGCAACTGTTTTTGTTCTTTAGTAAATCTATCCTGATAGTTTTAGCGAAAACAATTAGGTACCTTTTCTTTCAAGCCCAAGTTGACTGATTTTCATCTCTCCCTCTATCTCTCTCGTCGCTGTTTTCTTTTAGCCTCTTGATGGCTTGGTAGGAACTCCTCATTCAACAACTCCGAGTTCTCAAATTCCTTCCCAAACTTCAGCCATTCCATCCGCCCCTGTGAACTCAAGTAAACAAGCTGTCTCCTGCATTTTTTTTCAGAAGGGTCTATGTTTGAAAGGGGATCGATGTGCGTTCTTGCATGGGCCGTCCCCTGTTCCAACGAACAAAGTCCCTCTGATGGCAACAAATGGCCAAGCTAGTGAACCACCAAGTGTGAAGAAAATTGCTGGGGGTACCCAGAGGAGCAATCAAGAACAGAAGAATCCTCAAGAAATTTTTTTGAAGTCAGTTGGTGATGCATCTGTTAAGCTTGCAATGAAAGATGGAAGTGTGCCGTCAAAGATCGGAAACATCAATGAGAAGAGCAGACCACCTGCAAAAGTGGCTGATGGTGGTTCAAGGTATAAGGCTACAAAATCTCTTCCAATTTTAAATGAGAGTTCATTAAGTAGGGGTAATCGTCTGCAACAGAGTCATGTAATTGATGATCATGGGTTACAGAATGGTAAGGATGCTGATGAGTTTTTGAAGGAGTCCTCTCCAGGTTTTGATGTTCTTGTTGATGATGAGCTGAGAGGCTCTGGTTATTATGGCAGTGAAGAACAATATGGGAGAACAAGAGGTCATGATGGAGCAAATATGATTTCTATGAATGATTATGACATCAGTCATTCTGCTGATTATAAGATGATGGCTAATGTTGATCATGATGTTTATAATGATGTAACTGACTATGATTATGACACTAGGAAGGGGCAGTATGGTTGGGACCAGCGTTGGACCTCGTCTGAGAAGCTGTCTTTGGGGTCTGCCCAGATGGAAAGGAGGCTCTCCCGAAAATCTATCAGTCCTGAACATGTTCAGAATGTGGATTTACGTCATCGTTTAAACAAGCAGAGAAGGGGAAATGGTTTAAGATCTGTAATCAATAATGAAAATGTTGGTAATCGCCCTGAAGAACGAAACTATCATGCTTCTAGGAGAGATTCTCACCCCTCTCAAGAAAGCTCCATGAGTAACCGTCTCCGAGGTAGAATAAAGCTCCCAAGGATACCATCACCAGTTAGAAGTAGTAATGTGGGGCCAGAAAGAGATTTCAACCGGGGAAGATCCGGGGGAAGATTGTCACCAGGAAGGTCACTTTCCTTGTCTTATCAGGAAAGCAGTAGAGATGAAATGAAAGGCAGGCTGGAAGTAGATTATAACAATGAGCGTAGAAATTTCAATGGTCTTAATTCTGGGAGGGATGGAATGGATGGAACATCTGACTTTGCTGCTCCAAAACGTCTGGCCGAGCTGAAAGGCGAAAAACACGTGGTTAGCAAGGAGAAGCAAACCCTTGGCAAAAGAAAAGGCTTCGATAACGATCAACCTGGAGTTGAACTGTCGTTTGAGGGACCAAAGTCTCTCAGTGAGATTCTTAGAAAGAAGAGACAAGTTAAATCAGCTGTTGATCTTCCTATGAATAATGCCGAAAGAGAAAGCAGTGAAAGATTAAAAGAACGCTCCATTATTCCCTCCGTGGAGCAAGGTGGTCGGTCATCAACGAGCAAGCAAAAAGCAAATAGCCTTGAAGGAATCGTGTTCGCTCCAGTTGAAACTTTTGGGAAAGAAGAGGAAAACATCAATGTAACTCATCACAATTCTTCTCAGCCTATCCATTCAACCGACGATCACGGGATTGAAGCTTATGAAGAAACCTTCGAGGACCCCGAGTACGAGGGAGATGATCTGAGAGACGGTGAATACGAGTACGAGGAAGTCGATGACAGAGAATACAATTATGAAGAAGGTGACAACGTAGTTCCTGAGGAAGAGTATATGGACGATGAAGACGGAGATGACTTTGCCAAGAAGATCGGCGTTATGTCATGATCATGATCACGATCACGATCACAAGAGGACTTGCGCGTGCTCTTGCTACGAACATTTTGTTAGAGGACTTGCGTGGTCAGTTCAAGAATGGGCATGTTCTATCTGGACCATTAGCATATTGGGATTCCTCTTGTATTCATTAGAACACTCCTTTACTAGTATTTGATCTGATTTGAGTTGAAACAACGTAAAAGTATGTTGCAGATTGCAGTTGCAGAGAGTGTATGGTGTAGCGGTAGAAAAATTAAATAAGAAAATTGATATCCTTTTCTTTTTTTTAAGTAATTTTTGCTCTTTCATTACTTACTCTTCCTTATTTTTCAATAATTCCAAATTTATTATTATATAAAAATCTTTCACAAATATTAAATTCTACAGCTAATAGATTTAGGATTTAAATTGAAAATTTTAAAGATATAATTATGTTTGATAGCTTTTAATTCTATCGATTTCAATATAATCTTTTTAAAATATATATTTTTTCATTATTAACATTTAACTATTTTCTTTATTATTTTTAATTATTAGAAGAGTAATGTTAGCCCTCTTATGCAGCCCATTCCTGTGAGCCCAGCCCTAGCCTTTGTTAAACGCAAGCATCCTGTAATCTCTAATTCTCTCACGTCGGGGATCTCTCTCTCACTCTCTCATTCATCACTCGCCTCCGCCGGTAGCTTCTCTTTTAGACGCCGCCGCCGCCCCCGCCGCCGCCGGTAATCTCTCTCTTTCTCTATCTCTCAAAGCAGAGAATTTTCAGATTGAGTATCAGCAGGTCCGACGACTAACAGTTGCCTGCTGCATCTCTACTTTCTTGAAGTTTCGGCGTACTTTTGAAGGATGGATTGTGTGTATACAAGCATTTATTGTGTTTCGATGGATGAACCCCTTATATTGTTATTATTTTTTTAATTTCAAGAAATCGTAACTACGTACTTGTCTTGTATCTTCTACTTTTGGCTGAAGTGGTTTTTTTTGTATATGAGTTATGAAGTTATGTTCAAACGGATTGGACCGAACCAATCTAATTCTATTTTTCTTGAATTTTTAGGGGTTGGTTTGGTTTGGGTTTATAGCATTGTAAGGGTTTTTGGTTTAGAAGAATCTACCATTTGAAGGGTTGGGTCTAACTTATCACCCAATTCGACCCAATACGACCCACGAATAGCAAATATTGAAAAGAAAAAGAGAAAAAAGGAAATAATATTCCCAACCTGACAGCCAATTTCGTGCCAGAAAAAACCTAATAGCCAATTTCTCTCGCCGGCAGTACCTTCGCCTTCCCCTTCCTTTCAAGCGCTACGTCAGACTGTCGCTCATTCTCCATAATCTCAGTTCGCGGGCGCAAGTTTGATCATTTTCGGTATTGTTTTGGCTGTAGTCAGATCCTTCATCTAAAGTTCCCTAGCTTTTTCTTCTGTTTTTTTTTTTTTGGGTGTATAAATTGTTTGATGGTGTATGGGTTATGATCCAGTATCACTGGCTACTTGTTTGATTAACAAATTTTGATTCGAAATTAGTTTTTTTTATATTTTTTTGTACCTTTTTTGTCAAGGGTTTAAGCTTATTATTATGATTTAGTATCATTTCCTTTGTATTTTATTAGTTTGAGTTTTCAAGTATGCAATTTTATTCAAGTTGTTTATTCTGATCTGGGGATACTACTTTTTTCAGTAGATGCTTTCTGTTTAGACCATTGTGTTTGTTAATTTTGTTATCTTGGTTGTGGACAGTGCTGATAATTGCATTTTTTTTTTTTTTTTGGGGTTGGAGGCAGATTAGTTTCTCTCTGGTTTAACTTCACAAATAACCAAGTAAGACATCCGAACTTGTTTGCACAGGGACATTCAGCCAAGATGTCGCGGAAGGGTTTGATGGAACAAGACTTAAAGAAATTGGATGTGACAAAGCTCCATCCACTTTCTCCTGAAGTTATATCTCGTCAGGCTACAATTAATATTGGTAACTTTTCTTTTGTTTATGATTCTTTTATCGCACATATTACCCCTGATTACACTGTATGCTGGAAAATTATAGTCGTGGAGATCTTATTTTACTATTATAGTTGACTGTCCATTACTAAGTTCATCTTTTCCAGGTACTATTGGTCACGTGGCACATGGGAAGTCCACCGTTGTAAAAGCAATTTCAGGAGTCCAGGTGAATGTTTATTCCATCACTGATGGTTAATCTTGGTTTCTATTCTTTATAGTAACATTCTGACTTCCTTCTTTGGGTCGATTGTTGGTTGGATTTTAAGTTCCATAGAGGTGCCTTGGATTATCTTTTGTTGCAAAAACTTTTCTTGCCTTCTCTTTTCTCTTTCTGAACGATTAGAGTAGCCAGGTATGAATTTTTAAGGGGAACAAAATATCAAGCAAAGTATTCCATAAGATTTCTGTTTCTTAATGATCAGTAAGGATGAAAAATGCCAATAGTAGTTGTCTAACACCCAGGGCTTTTATATATTTCACAGTGGCTTCAATAACATGTAGTATTTGCATGGATGCATTATTCTGCACTGGATTTAGCTTACAGAAAGTAACAGAGATTTGAATTTATTTCCATAAGAAATTTTTGTTCATATGAGTACAATTTCCCCAGGAAAACATTATAACTTCTTCATTCTGATGTATCTATTCATGGAATGTCAAATCTGCAGACTGTACGTTTTAAGAATGAGCTGGAGCGTAACATTACCATTAAGCTGGGGTATGCCAATGCAAAGATATACAAATGTGAAGATGACAAGTGCCCTCGGCCCATGAGCTACAAGTGGGTGTTTCTTCTATTTTTATATGTTGCTAGCAGACACAACATCTACTTGTACTTAAAAGGTCAATTGACTTCCAGTAGTTAATTAACATACTCAGCATGCTTTTGTAGGGCATATGGAAGTGGAAAGGAAGACAGTCCTTTATGTGATGTGCCTGGATTTGAAAATTGCAGAATGAAACTATTGCGACATGTATCCTTTGTCGACTGCCCGGTAAGTTGAATTATTGTATCTGTGTAGCTAAGAAATTGTATGAAACATGATTGAAGCCAAAGTTAATAAACTGATCCATGCACATTTTGTGAACAGAAATGAGATAAGTTAGGTCTTCTTATGAGTTTCATGGGTTTTTACTCCTTGATTTTGTTGTATGGCGGGTTATTCACCATTCATATACCACAAAGCTTATTTCTTCCCTTTTATCATAACATGTTTTGTTTTTTTTTTCCTAGGGTCATGATATTCTTATGGCTACCATGCTTAACGGAGCAGCTATTATGGATGGAGCATTACTTCTGATCGCTGCCAATGAAAGCTGCCCTCAACCTCAAACTTCTGAGCACCTTGCTGCTGTTGAAATTATGCGCCTTCAACATATTATAATCCTCCAGAATAAAGTTGATCTTATTCAGGAAAATGTGGCAATCAATCAACATGAAGCTATTCAAAAATTTATTCAGGTTAGCTTTCCTTACTTTATTGTGTCAAGGTATTGGTATTTTCATATGAACGATTTTCACTGTATTCACTTTGTCCTTTTAATGTCTTTGGTAGGGAACTGTTGCTGATGGTGCTCCAGTAGTACCAATTTCTGCTCAGCTCAAGTATAATATTGATGTTGTTTGCGAGTATATAGTGAAAAAAATTCCAATTCCAGAAAGGAACTTCGTCTCACCTCCTAATATGATTGTGATTCGTTCTTTTGATGTCAACAAACCCGGATTTGAAGTTGATGAGATCAAAGGTGGTGTGGCTGGTGGTAGCATATTACGGGTATACTTATTACTTTTTTCTGGAAAATATAATCATCAATTCATGTTGAAATTGTGATGCTATGAAGTATTTAAAGCCAGCATTCAGATGGTTGATATGCTGTAATAGTGCATTATGTGCTTGTTTATGATAAAGACAGTTACTGGAATATGGCCAGAACTGACAAATGTGATTTATCCTTTTCAATTACCATCTATCTTTTGGCTTTGGTGTAAAAAGTTGAAAAAGAGGTTTTTGACTTGGCATATAGGTGATCTTGTTCGATAAGTTGAGTTACCTGAAGTTAAGAACTTTGTCCAAGTTTTTGGATTGTTTTGAGTTATTAGTTTATGAGTTCAAGCAAACATGTAAAAAAGTAGTAAAAATATTTTGTTAGCTTTTTTTTTTCTTTCGGTGGTTGGATGTTTCAATTTCATCCACCCTGAATTTTTCAGTTGAACCTGTTCTAGATAATGTCTTCCCAAGGAATTCATGTCACCACTTCACATTTTTAAACTCATTTTACTTTGGAAAAATTGTTCACAGTTTTCATGGTGCAAATATTTAAAATGTGTTCTTTCCAGGGTGTTTTGAAGGTGAATCAATTTATTGAAGTTCGTCCGGGGATTGTTGTTAAGGATGAAAGTGGTAACATCAAGTGCACTCCAATATACTCAAGGATTGTTTCATTGTATGCGGAGCAAAATGAGCTGCAATTTGCAGTCCCTGGAGGTCTCATTGGGGTTGGCACAACTATGGATCCCACTTTGACTCGTGCTGACAGATTGGTCGGTCAGGTTCTCGGGGAAGTTGGTTCACTTCCTGATGTTTTTGTTGAGCTAGAGGTAATGTTCTTAACATTTGAATGTTCTCTCTTTGTTAATGGATGAAGACCTTGAGATTGCAACCCAATACTACTCTAACATTCTTTCGGCCTCCCTACTTCTTCCCAGATTATCGTTTGCTTGTTTCTCTCCCCCCCTCTCTCTCTCTCTTTTTTTTTGGGGGGGGGGGGGGGGGGG